AGAAACTTATTTGTGGGTAAATTCATTTTTAATCTTATTAGTAAAGAGTTAAGTCCATTTTTTTTAATCTCGAAAATACTCTTAACAGTGTTAGTTTGATTATTTATGAAAAGTTTAAAACATTATTTACAATGAGCTATATATGGAGACTAATGATTAAATATATGAATGCTTGATTTACGATGTTAATTATCGATTATAAATTTTTCATAATACTTCAAATTCAAATTCTTAGTCATTATTTTGTCTAATATACATTTAAATAATAGACTTTCGGGATGTGACGCTAATTTGAAAGGGATGAAGGTTGAAGCTGAAATACGAGCTCAAGATTTTAAAACGTAACATGGATAGTACACACCAAGTCCTTGATGTTAGCATAGTAACATCAGTTCAGTAACATCAATTTCAAAACGTAATTTATTAACACATATCACTATCTTTTTTTATGTTGTTATTTTTTATTGAGCATTTTATTATTTTTTCAGTGTTATTTTTTTGGGTGCTGAAAAATTAGAGGTTTCATTCTCTGGTTATGCGTTTGAATGTTACTATTTTTATTTTTAATTTTGTTCAATGTTGCATGTTATTATTTTTTTTGTTGAGTAAATTACTATTTTTGTTAAACATATTACTATTTTTGTTAAACATGTTAATATTGTTGTTGAACATGTTACTATTGTTATTAAATATATTACTATTATTATTTTTATAAAATATTAATATTAAATGTTACTATTTTTTATATTTAAATATTACTATTTTTTTGTGTTTAAATGATACTTTTTTTTTTGCATTGAATGTTACTATTTTTATTTTTAATGTTACTCTCTATCTCTCTCTCTATATGTATATATATTTTTCTAACTTATATATGAATATAAATAGATAATAGAGAGAAAAATTTTTAATGTTAATCAAACTCTTAAAATTTAAAAGTTTTTAATTTTTAATTTTATTTCATTTCGAAAGGAAGGATATTTTGGTTAAATTGACAAAAAATAAATTTTATAACAAATAAATTTCTTTAATAGACTTAAATCCAAATAAGTGGATACCGGCCTCCAAATTTTCTTTTAAAAAAGTCGATGTCAGGACTTATTAAAAAACAAAATCTCAAAATTGACTTTTTAACAATTGTCGCTATGATTAAATAAATAAGTTGAGGATACTCGATCCAAATTGACACAACTAGACCCAATTAATTTCTGTTTCACGAGAGCGGGATCAAAACCAGACAAGAAAAATTCGTGCTCACCACTCTGCTCTGCTCTGCTCAATTCCATGGTGATTATGGAGTGGAGCTCAAGAAACGCGTTCTGACCTCAGCTTTATTCGCTGTCTACCCACAGGTCCTTTACATTTACACACCCATATATATTTCACTGCTATTTAAATCCCATCTACAGCATCTTTTTGTAGACTGCTTCAGAGTCATATTAAAATCTTTTGTACCTGTAGCAGGTGCTGTATGTTAATCCTAATGTGTGTTTTATACGTGTTTCGATTGTTCAATTTGGGTTTGGTTTCTGTAGGTTTTAACTTAGTTTTCTGCTTTGGAGTTGCATGAATAGATGTGATTTATATGATTTTCTTTTAGTTTTTTAGCCTTATATGATAGTGATTAATTGGATTAACAACTTGCTCAAAGATACTTACTTTGATTGCCCAACACTATGTAAAGCTACATTGAAGAAAGTTTCTGTTAACTGCTATTTAGACATAAATCGAAAGCTGAAGGCAAGGGTCAGGCCTTTTGTTATATAATGAGGCAGGTATGAGCCCTCCTAGGCCGCTTGAGGGGTAAAGTATCTGAGCCTTCCAGCACCTGATGCCTTAAACTCGAAACAAGAGTCTTTTTGAGCATTTCTATCTGCCTGTCTTGTCAATGAAGGTAAGCATCTTCCATATTGGCTGTGCTGAGGTACATTGATTCAATGATGGTTTATGCCTCAGCTGGCAAAAAGAATGCTTTACAATCAAAAGAAATTGTTTTTAGCCCAATTAATTATTTTATTAACTAGGATAGTACCAAAAAGAATACTGCAATAACTTTGTTTTCCACCTCCCAGGAACTTGGTTACTAAGTGCTGGATTTCGTAGGTATTTTCTTGAGCAACATACCTTTCTGTAAAATGCTCTCCCATGGAATAATATCAAATTTATGCATGCTATTTTTTTATTTTTTTTTTGACTTGACGCAATCAATTGAGAGCCAACAATAGAGAAAGCAATACATAATGACAGCATAGTTAGTTGAAGGCACATAAGGGGTGAAGATGTTCATGGTGAGGGCAGTAGACGTCTTATGGACCTATTGAACATGCTACACAGGATGCGTGTTGATTGTGTAGTTAGTGGCAAAAATCCACAGTAGAGGTGGAGGTGGTCATGGCAACTTGGTGGCTAGTGGCAATGGTGTGGTTTCTTCTCCCGTCTCCCCTTTAGTTTTTGTAGAAGTGGTAGGCAGATTTTGGTATCACTAGTTGATCGTTGCTAATGAAACATTCTTGTCATAGAAAAAGAAATTCTCTAAAGAGATTAATAACAGGTTGTCGTAGAATGATTTAATGAAAATGGCTATGCCCGCAATCATTGAATAAAAAAGAAATCCAGGTTGAAGATTTGCTTTGGGCTAGGGCCATATCATTTATGTGCACTGTGCATGGTGTGGTGATCTTGGCTGATGGGTGTGGTGATGGTAATATCAGTGGCTGCAATGGTGAGGTCAGTGGTAGTCATAGTTGGTTAGGAATAGTGAGAGTGTGACAGATGGTAGTGATGTGGAAGCTGTTGGAATTTCATAAAAATTGCGAATGCAAAGCTGTGCGAGATTTGAATGTCACTAATAAGGATGTGAAGTCTCCATCAATCATGTCTAGAGGTGACCCTGATGTTTGTGATGTTGAGTGGGTAACTTGCTATTTTCATACTAGTTGATGGTCATTTTAGCATTGGGGAGTCCAGCATAGTCCTAGAGCTGCATTAGTGATAATTTGATGATGGTCAGATGGGTTAAAGACATTTTGTCCATGATTGAAGCTTAACCTCAGCTGTTTTGTCTACACTGCTGTTGAACCAGTCTCTATTTCTTTGTTATCCAATACACCCTGCACTTCCCAGATGAGGCATAATTATTTTTAAAACATTGTTAGGTAATTAATTTGGGCTTCTACCATAGTTAATGGTTGCATACTTATTAGGAAAATATTTCTTACATTTGAGCATGAGTATATGATCTTTTCGGCTCAGCATACCAGGCCATAGGATTTTCTGACATCTCTCTCACGGCGATAACATCATTCATGCCTTCACCTAGGAAGCATGAATAGTGCCATGGCAATGTCAAACATGTGTTTGACACGGACACGGACACAGTCAAGACACACCCCGAACACGTGTCCGACACAGTTAGAAGCGTTCTGAATAGTGAACTCAATTGGTCATGCCTGAGACACGACCAGGAAATGATTAATAATTTTTTTTATTAAAAAAATAAACATTAACTATTAAAATGGGTATGATTTCTATTTTTTGTAATATATTCTTTTTATGTAACTTGTATATTATGCATGTTAATGGATGTAATGATGTTTGATATTGTTATAATATATGTTTTATTTTTAATATATTAAAACTCTATTATTATTTAAAAAATATATTATATTATTTTAATAGCCATACCGGTGTCTTATATTTTTGAATTTTGTTGTATCCTCATGTTTGTATTGTGAACAGTGCCATTCAACAGTAAAACTGTGTTTTTAGGGTTGAAAAGTATTGAACTTCAAGTTCTGCGGAAAGACTAGGTTGGACTTACGGATTAGAGTTGCAAATGAGTTGGTTTGAAAGTGTTTATATGTAGAAAATTTAAGAAAGAATTAAAAAAAAAAAAACTAGGAATCAGTCTTAGGGTTTTTTAGGCGTCACACCTAGGATTTTGAATTGCACCACAATCCTCAAAGCATATAATTGCTGAAAACTTATGGAAAATATTTTTTCCCTTTATTGAAGACACTACATACCAACGGGCCTTTAGTGCAATAGTACTTCTTACCTTGTGAAAGTTTTATCTTCTTAAGGTCAAGAGTTCAAACCCCCTTCCCCCCTCTCCATCCCCCTCCCCTTCCCTCCCTCCCCCCCCAAAAAAAAAAAAAAAAAAAATTGAAGACACCACATAACTATGCATAGACCTCCAAGTATTTTTTAATCCTAAAAAGATTAGTACTCTAAAGACTTAAAATTAAATATGGACTAGGAAATTAATGTAGACTAGAACTTGGACTAAACTCTAGAACCTTAAGACAAAACACATTTTTTGACCCAAAAGATGACCTATGGGTCATACTATGACATGTTCCAATAAATTTTGAAATTACGAAAATATTCCTAACTTTAAAAAATATCATAATGACTCATAAAATAAAAATACCAAGGTTCTAAATAGACTCAAGAATAAAATACAACTAGACTAAAAAAATATTGTGCAAGGTTCCATATATGTCTCTATCTTGATAGCATGTCAAATCCCATAATTTGTCAAGTTTTTGAATTCATATTCCCTTGAACATCTTATGGATTACATATTCGCATCATTCTCCCTAGTTGGAGAAAATTCAATCTTGAGTTTTGAAGTGTTGAACTATGAAACCCACAAGCTTTGAATTTGCATATGTTGCTTTCTTTGAGAAGCCTTAAGATGTTGCCTCCATTTCGTTTAGAATTGAGGAAATAAATAGATTTGCAGATTGAGTTTCTTGGTTGTGTTATCGAACTTATTTGGAATGGCAAAATCAGTTGCTGAAGTAAAGCAAAAGGAAATAACATCCTTGTTTGAATTGACATTTTAGTAGTGTGCCGTTGAATTGTAACATTCCCCAACATTTTAATATGTGTTGCTAGTCCCTCTTGCTCAATCAAACCCGTAATAATAGTTTTTGATTCCATCCCCTTGTTCATGGTGATATCTTCATATGTTGTAAACTTAATCTTCTCTTGAGCAGAACAATGGGGCCTAAAGTTTTTGACCTTTGAAGGTCTGAGAACCGGGAGGAGCTATTGTCAATAACTGCCAACATGATGGAGAAAAATATGCATGAGGGGAAGGAAGCATCTTCTTCATATGTATCTTGGTCGCCTGAAGTTCAGAATGATTGGATCAAAGCTCAAGATTCGTTGAAGAGAAAACTAATCACAGAAGATGATTTCAAATGGAAACTACCCACAACCCAACAAGCACTTGGCGGAAAAGAAGATGCAGAAGAGAGTAGTGGAGTATTGAAGTATGTGGGTGGGGTTGACTTGAGCTTCTCAAAAGACGACCCATCCATTGCATGTGGCATACTTGTTGTTTTGGACCTCCAAACTTTGAGAGTTGTCTATGAAGATTTCTCCATTGTCAGGCTCAATATCCCATATGTCCCTGGTTTCCTTGCATTTAGAGAGGCTCCAGTTCTTTTAGAGCTTTTGCAGAAAATGAAGAAAAATATTCATCCTTACTACCCCCAGTTGTTAATGGTTGATGGCAATGGATTACTTCATCCTCGAGGAATTGGATTGGCCTGTCATCTTGGTGTTCAAGTGAATATTCCCACTATTGGGGTAGGAAAGAATTTGCATCACGTGGATGGTCTTACCCAATCTAGGGTAAGAAAGCTCTTTGAAGCCAAAGGGAACTTAATGAAAGATATGATCACTCTAATCGGGGAGTCTGGACGAACCTTGGGAGCAGCGATGCGATCAACTCAGAGCTCATTCAAGCCTATATTTATTTCAGTTGGTCATCGTATATCTCTTGCTACAGCCATCAAAATTATGGAAATAAGTTGCAAATATCGTGTTCCAGAGCCCATCCGACAGGCTGATATAAGATCAAGGGACTACCTTCGAAAGCATCAAATAGTATGAACTGTACCTACCTGGGCTGGGCAAGAACAAAAAGAGGTCATCGTCCAGGAGCTAGTCAAGGCTGGAATGGGATAGCAAGCCCTTTCTTCCCTAGTCAATGCCATTAGAACAAGGAAAGATGAGCCATGTCCTTTTGTAGTGGATAAAAAGAGATACTACTAGAAGAGGATGAAGGTAAATGTTCCTGAATATAAACCTTATTTTTTGTTAATATTAAGCCTACTTTCCTATGAAGCATGGATACTTCGTCAGAAACAATACTCTTTGGATACCTATCCGATAATTAATAAAATATGTGGATATTTCACAAATACTTTTAAACATGGAGCAAGATGTACAATTTTTAATGTTAATTTATACCCTCTCTTTTCGAGTTTCCATACAATACAAAACATCAACAAAATTCTATCTGATTTTGAAGACACCAAGTGTTTTTTAAGTATTATCTACTATTACATGTCAAAAGAGTATAAACAAATGAGTTAGTTACACTATAATCTTAAAACTTAATACTTGTAAACAAACCAACTAGTTAAATTGATTCTGATTCCTTTAATTGGTCACACTCATTTTATAGATATATCATAATGAGATGATATTACATCTTTTTCAAGGTAAAAATTCATTATTTTGTTTACTACTTTTAAAGAATTATTGAAAATTATAATTTTTAAGTCATTAAATAATAATAAAACATAAAATATATTTTATTATAGACGTATCCTCGGCGTACCCGCATCTTATTATTTTAAGTTTTGTTATATCGTCGTACCCGTATCGTACCAGTATCATGGATCTGTATCCGTGCTTCTTAAGTACTTTTCTTTGTTACAAAAGAAATATGTTTATGATAAGAACAATGTGTTAGTTTGGCTTGCATGTTTAATGTTCAAATTTGTTCCTATTTGTATTTGATTGATATGTTTATAATCCAACAGTAAAAAACCAAAAAATAAAAAAAAACTTTTCTTGAGCATTGTTAGAATATGGTAGTACTGGTGGATCTTTATGCTCATGTAGGTTCTTGGAGCATGCAAACATATGAAGCCCTTGAGACAGTGATGCTGCTCATTGAAGGTCATCAATGGAAGAAAATTCATTAGTCAACTCTTTTGGCACTAGAGCACTCTGGTAGTAACTTAGTCATGTCTAAAGGCATGTTTGATTCATGGCTAGTTGCTGTTTTTTATTCTTAGGCTCTACAATAAATATAGAGGGAGAGCTTAGAGAAGATGGTAGCAGCAGAATACTAGAACTAGACATGACGGTTGAAGTGTAATAATGTTTGATGTGTTACAAGAAGATATAGAACCAGCATTTTAAAGCATAGAATGGCAGTAGTCAAAGATGTGTTTACTACATGAACATACCCGAAAAATCCATGGATAAGCGGCTTCACAAGAAAAGCCACAATTAAGTGATAATGTTTGAACTGAGTGTTTGGTATCTCGAGATGTGGTAGATGAGTGATATCAGAGGAAAAGGATGTGTCCACACTGCTAGTACTTTTGACTACTTGCTGTTAAATGTAGTGCCTAGGATATCTATGTTTCTGTCAAGTTTTCAAGGGCCACATTCTTCTGATGGCTTGTTCTTTCAGTAGCTTGAGATTTGGTGTTTTAAGAACCTCTGATAGCTGCCATGGAGAATTTCATTTGTTTATGATAGGATTGGACTGAAGCTTCTAATATTAAGAATTTCGGAGTGACTGGAATAAGTTCAACTTGCCGAGTTTTTGTTTGCTTCTTGAAAATATATAAGTTGGTCAAGGATCAACCCTTCTATCCTTATTCAAGCCATGCTCTTCTTTTTGAACAAAAAATCCAACTGTTTCTGTCCCTTTCTTCTACCCTCAGGTAACGAGCCATTAAGTTGTACCTTATTGAGTGAGCTTCCTTGATTCATTGTATCAAAACTTGTAAAAGTCTTTTTCGGTTTAATCTTGCACCTCTTACCATATTTTCATAAAAATGAAAAATAAAGGAAAACATGTTGCTATGCCAAGGCCAATATGAAAATTTGACATTATGTCAATTATTGCCTTCGAGAACATTAAAAAAAAAATGCGAATGGTGTGATTGTGTAGAATTTGCTTCATACATTTCCACAAGGCATTAACTGGGGACTAGATGAATACTTTAACGGTTATACATTCTTGATAAATATGCACACTACGTAGACCAAGCAATGCTGGCCAGACTAGGGTAGGAGGAGACAGTATAGAGCATCTATTGTTTGAATATTAAGGAATGTAGTTGAACTAAATTAATTCGATTTGAATTATGTTATAGAATCTAATCTTACAATATTAGCTAGTATTGACCCAGTACTATGTCAAATAATTCTGCATTATGGTACAAACCAAATGTGATCAATGGTACAAATTTGTTTAATTTAGTGCAATTCCTAGGGGTTTTGTTGATACAAAAATCAAGGCCCTCAAATCCAGAGAACATTGATGTTGCACAAAAGTGAGTTTATGTAAAATCAATGAAGGATGAAGTAAAGAGGGCTCGACACAAGCAAACACAGAATTTAGGTGGTTCAATCTGTGTGACCTATTCCACTTGGAATGGCTATGGTGGTTGAAGGTTCTTATTACTCAAGTGATGTAGTTTGTTGAGATGGATGTCATGACCCCCATACATAGATGGACTTACAATTTATTACGGAGAACAGTCTTCATGGCTCCTCAGAGCGAGCTTTGGAGGAGGCACATCACAGGGAGCCTCGATTAAAGGTGTCACCTTTTGTGACGGTGTACTATTGGCGTAATGGACAAGGTGGTTGAGGCTTGCGATGCATATCTTGATTCCCTTCTTAAGATGGCAATCTCACGTGCATCACGTAGACTGAATTTTCCAAGATGATGGGCTTGGTTTGGGCTGAGTTGAACCTGTGACATGGATCTTGTATGTATTTCTATACTAAGCCTCTAAACTGAGTTTGATATGTAATTCTGAACTGGGCCTAGTGTGGACCGGCACGTCAAACATCACTGATCACTGTCAAGAAAAGGAATACAAGCACCAACATCCCATTTAAAGCCACAGAGGAAATGACTATCTCATTAATGTAAGATCTTCTCTCACCAGGGGTTTGTAGAATTGGAGTTTTGGAAGAATTCATTGACCAAGAAATAGAATGTAAGGCTCTGTAGAGCTGAAGTTGTTGAGATTTGTTTTAACCAACAAGTTTATGTGAACTCATTGAGAGGTCTGTCTTATGATCCACAAATATTCATATTAGTTAGCCAAATTTATGAGAAATGGGAAGAGTCCTTTTCATGTACTATCAGAATATACTTCATAGTACTCTGAGACCTTTGTTATATTTTAATAAAATTAGGGTAGCTTTGTTTATCTTGATAGAATAAAAGAGGATGAGACTATTCTTTGGGTTTTCCTTCTTGTGTTCTGTTACTAATATATACACCTCGGAATGCACCTTTCTTATAGAGAGAAATGTGTTTTCACATCTTCTTAACCCAAATTGGCTGGCAGAGGAAATTTTTTTTTTTTTTTAGGGTACTCCCAGGATCAAATTCAGTGGAGACGATTTGTTCCTAACAATTCAAGTCGAATACAGAGAGAAAAAAAATAATATTTAAGAAAGCTAAATTTGATTCAAGTAATACACTATTCAAGTCTATCTGGTTCACTTTTGAGATAATTAGATCAATTTTTTCAGGGAAATAATGAGAATCACATAGGCTCCAACATGAATGTAAGGGAAACCCTCGAAAAAACTAGAAAGCCAAATTGAAAGACAGTTAACAGATAGTGTTAATACTCTGTTTAGGCATAACTTATCCTTCCGGGTCATAAGCTGGGTATTTGGTCGATCGCCTCACTACATTTCCATAGAATGGATTTGAAGATAGATATGGTGAAGATCTGTTTAGTGGCCTTTTTTACCCAGCATCATAAGTTGGTAGATAAGAGAGGTCCCTAGAAGGAGATCTTTCACCAGAACTCCTGGAAGGTGCTTCAAAAACAGTAGCTGCACTTGGATAGAGAGAATTCGACCTGCTCCAGCATCCCCTACAATCAAGCTTGCTTCAACCAGAGGGATTTATTGTTCAAGGTAAAAAGATCATGTTTGCTTGTTGAAGAAATCATTATATGGTTTGAAACCGTCTCCAAAGCAATGGTACAAACGTTTTGACACATTTATGGTAGATCATGGTTACTCTAGAAGTAATTATGATAATTGTGTGTATCACAGACAGTTGTCAGATGGTTCTTTGATATATTTATTGCTTTATGTGGATGACATGCTTATTGCTGCTAAGAGCATGTTAGAAATTAACAAGTTGAAGAAAGAGTTGAGTTCAGAATTTGAGATGAAAGATTTGGGTGCTACAAAGAAAATTTTGGGTATGAAGATGCACAAGGATAGAAGAACAGGTATCTTATATTTATCTCAAAAGAAATATATTGAGAAAGTTATTGAGCGGTTTGGGATGCAGAATTCGAAGTCCGTCAATACTCCACTTGCTGCTCACTTTAGGCTTTCAACAACTTTATCACCACAGAGTGAGAATGATGAGCAATTTATGTCTCGTATTCCTTATTCTAGTGCAGTTAGAAGCATCATGTATGCTATGGTTTGTACTTGTCCAGATATTTCACAGGCAGTTAGTGTGGTTAGCCGTTACATGGCTAATCCTGGGAAGGTTCATTGGCAGGCTATGAAATGGATACTTCGTTATTTGAGAGGCACTACAGATGTTGACTTAGAATTTGGTAGAAGAGAACATTGATTCTACATTGTTGGTTTTGTTGATTCAGATTATGCGGGTATCTAGATAAAGGAGATCTCTGACAGGTTATTTTACTTTTTTGGATGCACTATATTTGGAGGGCGATCCTACAATCTACCAGTTCTACAGCTTTGTCTACCACAAAGGCAGAATACATGGTCGTATCAGAGACAGTTAAAGAAGCAATTTGGTTAAGAGGTTTGGTCTGTGATTTAGGCTCGAAAAAAGAGGTAACTACTGTGTTTTGTGATAATCAAAGTGCAATACATTTGACCAAAAATCAGATGTATCATGAAAGGACCAAACACATTAATGTTAGGTATCACTTCTTTTGTGAAGTTATGGCTCAAGGTATTGTCACAGTGAAAAAAGGTTGCTGCAGCGGAGAACCCAGCAGATATGTTTACTAAGCTGGTACCAGTGTTCAAGTTCAAGCATTGCTTGGACTTGATTGGTGTCTGCACAATTTGAG